GCTCTGGACTGAAATAAAAAATAAAAACAGTTAAAAAATAAAAATATAATAAAAATCAAGGAAAATTAGTTCATTTTTTTACACTTGTTTACAATAATGATCTTGACCCATAACTTTATAAATAAACTAAAACGTTCTCCTCCCACTCAGAGAGGCCAGAGTTGAAGACAACCATTAAAACACTTTAGCATCCCTCTCCTGTTCTGTGTGAGTTTAATCTAAATAGCAGTTTTACCTCTGTGCGAGGCAGGAAGTCAGGATCAGCCTGGATCCTGGCGATGATTTCACACAGGATTATTCCGTAGGAGAACACGTCCGCCTGGAAATCAACAAAACGAGACCAAAAACAGAAAAATATCCACTTTATTTGTGAACCGCATCACTCAACACGACCTGATTATGTGAAATAATCCATGATGGGACKTTACCTTCTCGTTGTAGGGCTCATCCCTCAGGACCTCCGGAGCCATCCAGAAAGGAGAACCCACCACCGACAGCTTCTCTCCTTCAGCACTAAAAACACATTACAATTAAAACCAGTTATTTTTGTGACTTTAAGCTGCTCAACAACAAAACCTTAATGCAAATATGAACATTTAAAAAGCTAAACAATGTTACGGTTTCTTTCCCCAAATTTGTTTGGATTTGTTGAATCAGAAACGTATATATTTAGTCAATAGTTGTATTCATGACTATTTACACACAATTATGTGCAGAATTTGACAATTTATTAAACTACAGTTTGTTCCTTAAGSCCCCCCTCCTCCTCGTTTTTGCTACTGCAGAACAGAAAAATGAATAAAACCTGCGCTTATCAGATCCTCCTGCCGTCAAAAGCAGAAAATGTGAGCGGCAGAGGTGGCTTTAATGTCAGCACCTGACCTCTGTGATAATAAATAACCCTGAGATGATGAAGAGGAGGAGGAGGAGGAGGAGGAATGAATCAAAGTGAGTTTGCTAAAAAAGCAAAAGCTTAAAAAATAAAGATGACACGAACATAAACATGGCATTTAATTATTAATATTTAATCCTGACATCCAAAGGATGTCATATTATTAACTCTGACGGTCACACCCAGTAACTAAACTACAGAAAGCTTTTTCTYATAAGAGGGATCAAATGAATTGTAGCCACAAGGGGGAGGATGAACCTTAAAAAAACAGATATTACACATCAAAACAGAAAGATCAAAACAGTTTGACTCACAGGTTTTTTTATCTGGTTTTATGGGAAAGATCAGAACTAAAATCTGAACCCTAACTGTGTTTTAAAAGGATTCCCCGTAACGTAAGGAATAAATGTCTGACAAAGAAAACAAAGCTACTGATTCATAAAAATGAGTTTTTGTGAAAGATTTCAGGTAAACATTAAGAGTCAGTGGTTATGAGTCAGTCAAACATGTTTCTGTTGAAGTCATCTTCTTATTTTACTACCACAAACAAAATTCAAGCCCTTGGGTTTTTTGTTTTATTTTATTATTTATGTATGTATTTTTACTGAGACTGCAGATTTCTTACAGATTAGCGGGGATCTTCTCAGCCAGGCCGAAGTCTCCCACCACTGCCGTGTAGCCGTTGTCGTCACATTTGATTAAGCAGTTCTGTAAACAGAAAAAACCCCACAAATGGTCGATTGAGGAATGTCGCAACACAGACAGGTTTATAAACGACCCGTTCCGCGGCTTTGCGCCGTCAGCCGAGCCTGCAACTTCCTATTTAGAGTCATTATCAGTGTGGTGTGAATCACTGTACAAGTTCAACCTCTTCCGCTTCACGTTTTTTTTTTTAGAAAAAGCGTGGCGATAATCTGCAGCTGTAAATGCATTCCTGAGGACGCTCTGAGCGAAACGTTAAAGTTCTGTGTGGTTKTTTGCAACACATGAACCCACAACTGTGTTATTTGATGAGGAAAATCAAAACGTTTCTGCAGCACCTGCATCACCATCCAYTCTTATCATCAGGGAACTGAGGGAAGTTAAAACGCCTCTAAAATGATATGAGGAAGTGTTCTGAGKATATTTAATGACTTTACAGCAGAGCATCTCTGTTTTCTCATGGTGCCAAACATCAGTGATGTTTCTATAATAATTAGCTACATTTATATATTTCAAAATACTGTTTAACATTTTTAGCTTCCATCTAACTCTTCAAAACAAGAATTTCAGTATTATTTCAATGGAAAATATAATATAAAGTAAAATAAGTTGACAGATTTCCTTTTATTATAGCAATAATAAAAAGAAAGAACTGCTGTATAAGATGTAGTAAGGTTAATATGTTAATAAAGAACACATAACGTCACRTTTGGCAGCAATAACTTGGAGCAATCAGCCTCTTTGTTGCCTCATCAGTCTCTCTTTSATGTGAAAGAACTCTGGCTCACAGCGTCGCTTCGGTTCATTCAGGTTTGTGTMGAACTTTCACCACATCTGGTTWRGGTCTGGACTTCGACAGAGCCATTRGCTTACAAGACTTTATTATTTCAGTTGGATTAGATGCCCACTGTCAGGCGGACGGCCTCATTTTAATCTAAAGTAGAATATTTAGAAAACAAAAAACAAAAAAAAAGTTCCTGGTTGATTCGTTGACCACGAAGTGCCCAGATCCTGTAGCTAAAACAAGCCGAACCCATCAGCTCTCCACCACAGGAGGGTTTTGTGTCGATACATAAGTCAATTTAATAACTCCAGTGTCTCCWCTTAACGACCAATTAGCTTGAACTAACCTTGGAGGTGAGGTCCCGGTGGAATATTCCTTTGGCGTGCAGGTAAGCCACGCCGCTGGCGATATCGCAGGCTAGCTTCACCCTCATGGGCCAGCTCAGGTGTTTGTTGCTGTCTAGAAGCTGCTCCAGGTTTCCACCATTGATGTACTACAGAAAGGAAAAAACACATATCAAGACTGGTGAGCACAATCAACATTTTCACAATTTAAAGAGGAACACGCTTATAACTGTGCAGATGTAGAAAATCAATTAATGTTTTAAATAAGATTTGAGCTCTGGTGATTCTTGGCGTGTACGGAACTGAATGGTTTTACTGATTAATTTTAAAATCTATGAAACCGAGCAAAACAACAGGTTTTGAGAGACTGAACAGTTGGCTGGTTTAACCACAGAAAAGCAGGCAGCCCGTCTGTCAGCCGAGTGTGACGCTGTGAAAACAATGTGATGAAATCCGTCCCGTAGCGTGCAGTGAGGCTCGTAAAACAGAGCTTTCTCATTCATGAACACACCGTCTGGCTAAAGAATGAAAAGCAAAGACAGCCAATAAGATCAGTGGGTTCGTCACTTCGTCAGCTTTGATCCTTAAGAACTTGTCTAACCTTCCTGCTGGCGTGCAAACACGCTAACGCACTAATCYCATGTCACAGATCATGAGCAGCAGTAGCTGACTAAGAGAATGAAGCGACGGTCGGGTTTAGCGGCGGTTATTGGTATGACTGACGGGCACAGAATTAGAGCAAAGGGTCAGCAGCAGGTGGTGCTGGGAGCTGAGGGCTCTGAAGTCTTTACTTCCTCTTAAAATAGACTTAAATGTGGCAGKTTTATTAACATTTGGCAGGTAATCTACGAGAGGCTTGCTTCCAAAGGACAATTTCAAAATAAAAGTGATTTAAAGAATCTGCTTTGAAAACCAAAATGATGCTAAACAGACCTCAACATGTTGAGCCCAAAACGCAATGAATAAATCACACATTTTTCTCTAGGATGGGAAATATCTCCAGGCTGAAATTCATCAAGCATACACTGAGGGAGTGGTTCCCAAAGTTGGGGTCGGGACCCACAGTGGGGTCCTGAAACATCAAGGTGGGGTCCTGAAAATATTTTCTGAATTAATTACACTAAAAAAGGACAACTAACAACATTTTTTGCATTTGTTGTTACAAAATACTAACATTAGTGTACTTAAAATGGACAAAAATAATGTAATAAATAATGTTACAATGCTCTAGTTTATTTGATGTGAAAACAATTCATCAACCGACAACAGCTGGGGGCACAGGTCTCTGATGCTTTTATTTTGTGGGTCAWAAGCTGAAAAGTTTGGKAACCACTGCACTAAGGTCACCAAAAAACATCTTTCTTTGTACATCTTTGCACAAAGAACAGCACTAATCAAAATAACCACCTCAAATGTTTTAATCAATGTCGACAAATGACCAACAGGCGATACTTTGATTGAAGATGAAGAAAACTGGGTCTTAATAACACTTCTGTCACTCAGCTTTAACTGTATTTTTACTAAATTTCCTCATCTCGTGGTACTAGAGTAAATTCATGCACTTTTACACCACTTTATAAATCAAATATCATTGCATCACATGCTACAAAAATAGTAAAAATACATTACAACAACTATGTCCTGATGGATCTCAATAATCCAGGCAGAAAAATCTAAAAAAAATCTGAGCAGGTCATCTGGACAGGTTCTTCCAACAACTATGTATAATCAAAATAAAATTTATTGGCATTTTTTAAGATAGTGAGGCAGAATTGGAACTGTTCCAACAGTTTAATGACTTGACGATAAAAAAATAATAATAAAAAGTCTGGTCATTGGCTAAAGCAGTGTTTTTTTCAACCCTGGTCTTCAAGGCACACTGCCCTGCATGTTTTACAGGTTTCCCTGCTTTGACACACCTGATTCAGATGGTTGTAGTTTTAAAAAAAGCTTGTTAATTGAAAAACACTGGACTAAAACTGTTGAGCAACGTCAAATACACAAAATTCTATTGGATTCAAGATGTCAGAAGATTACTGCTGAGTAGTCCAGGAGCTTAGAATCTGCTGTCAGCTCACACAAACTAATCCAACTTCAACAAACTAAACGGAGCATATTTCACCGTCTCGCTGACACAAACCAGGTCTGGTTTAAAAAAGAAAGATAATTTGAACGCACCTGCTGTGTCAAATAAAAGWTGTATTCAAAAAGCCTCTTATCCAGGCACGGCCTTGTTTGTCCAGGATTTTACTTCAACCCACTTCATTGAGTTGCTGATACACCTCAGTAATCGCTCAGCTCCCGCTCGGGAAGTACAAGAACCTCACCACGACGGTGTCTAAYGCAGGCAGCGAAAGGAAATAAGAAACATATGCCAGGTCGTATAAATGTGCGAGTCCCTCTGCTGCACTGTCTGTGATTCAGGCTAAAACCCCTGAGGTTAAAAAAAATAAAAAACTGGAACAAAGAATCCTTGTTTGCTACTGAAAGCAGCTTCAAACAGTAGAATAATCCCGCCGTGGGTCATGACTCACTGTTTGCCCTGAATGTAACTGCGGTGGCAAGATGCATTAAAGTGAAGCTCAGCACGAGCAGAACAAGGCCCCATTCCTCAGATCATTTTACCTCTCCAGAGCCCTCCAGTGATAACCGCCATGTGTAAATGCAATCAGTTTGTAATGCTAAACACTCGTGTGTTGAAGTGCTTTCAGTCAGTGCTTACTGTTAGTTACTCCAGTTACTCTGGTAGTTCTTCGCAATAACATAATAAAAAAAAAAGCTCTGCAGTAACTTTATTCCAAGCTTCCTGTTATCACAGAGTCATGACGGGGGTCAGGTAGCAAAACGAGTTTGTTGGTACGACGACAAGATCTGTTTTCACTGCAGCGGGAGAACAAAACCCGCCGCAGCATCCATGCATATTCATACTGTACGCGTCTCAATGGGCTGATTCACTCACTCTACAACGCCGCGTCTATTTGTGGTTCAATGTGTGTAAACGTCTCAAGATGTACACTCGTACGCAATGGGAAAAAAAGCTGCTGTCTGTTTTAGCTGAAACTACAATAAGCCCATTCACCGTGCAGCACAACAGTGTAATTAGAAACATGTGTGCGACTCTGGGAGCATCTTTAACTGCGAGCCACTTCTTCCAGGACGAAGCCCTCCGACATCTTCAAAATGGATTTTAAAATGTCACCTGAACCAGGGGTCTGCAACCTTTACAACCAAAAGAACAGTTTCTGCTCCACGGCTGAAAGATAAAATGTGTCCGGAKCCACAAAACGTGCTACAACTGGGATTATCAACTGGTGGCCAGTGGGCCGCTTTGAGTGTTGAAGAGGGGCTTTTCCAGCCTGTGTGGGTGACCTTGTAAAACTTTCCACTAGTGCCACTTAGTGTAGTGTCGGTACGGTCAGTGTCGGAACGGGTCAGTTCGGGTGCTTTTCCATTGACGTTCCAGTGGGTGTGTTTTTGACGGTTGGTGGAGGTGGTTTTTAGGATTTTTGAAAAAAAAGTTAATGGGCAAAATGAGAGCTGGAAACACATTTGATGAATAAMTTTTGAAATTTTAAAAATTTGTAAAAATTTCTAATTAAAATTGGATTGTATCACGACTAATGTCACTGCTACTATTGAAAAAGCGGCTCCTTGAGTTGTTCTTGTAAAGGCAGCGACACAACCGGTGGCTCCACCCCATAGCCAATCAGTGACGAACTGTGTTCTGATGTCACATTTCGGTGTCAACAGGGGCCGCTTGGAACCACAACAAAGTAGGTACTTAAAAAAGTGCCGGTTCCATGAATCTGGCCTAATGGAAATGGCTTGGAACCGTACCAAACCGTGCCGACACTACACTAAGTGGCACTAGTGGAAAAACGTTTACAATAGTTTTGACACTTTAGGCAAAAAAAAAAAAAAAACCCATATTCATGTAAACAAGGAAAATACTGTGTAGAGTTGATAACAAATTGAATTGAAAACTACATCTGAAGTATGCAGGCTTTTATTTTTYCTAATTCTTACGATTATCTCGTCTAGTTTTAAAGGTTTTTAAAGGTAGCTCTAATGAATTTGAGAGAAAGGTTCTACTTTAAGTCTGGGAGTTGCATTACTGAAGTGGCCAACAGGCTACTAGCACCATCTAATCAACATGTTTCCCTCTTTGCATTAGTAGCATTAATCACATATTTTCAAACAATTTGACAGGAAAACTGCTAAAACTAGTCTATTTCTGTTGTGAGTATAAAACCCCAAAAATGTAATCCTACGTTAGCGTTGGTCAAAGCTTCAAAGAGCCGCTGTAGAGGGACCAAAGGGCCGCATGTGGTCCCAGAGCCACAGGTTGCAGACCCCTGAACTAAACTATATTAAATTATTTCAAGCTACTGACTAAACAGGTAATATGTGTGTGTATTTATACACATATACGTGAGTGTCTGTGTGTTTTTCTCTGGTTATCTGTGAGTACATCAATGACTCAACATTTCAAGTACAGTTACAGTATGCAATTAATACCTGTTCTCCATTCTGGTTCTGACACATGTATACAGTAAATACTTWTTTATAATGTGACAGAATGACAGCCACATTTACACATTTAAAGGCCTTTTTCATTGCCTTGTTGATATTGCTATAGGACAGGGTTATTCAAGTGGCGGACTGAGGGCCACGTCCGGCTCACGAGTGACCAAAGTTTGGCCTGCTAATTGGTTTATTCATCTCTTAAGCCCAAACCCCAGGTTTTCTACTTTAAATACCATAAGTTGTTTTAGTTAGATGTGTGGTATCTACAGAAATGTCAGAATCTTGGCTAGAAGCTGGAAAAAATAATTTCTATGAACATCCAAGACGATTAAAACAAGCAGTTGAAAATAAATCTACGAAAGTGAAAATAAAATTGGTTTAAAAATTTGGCAAGTCAGAGATGTCAAAATGATATTTGTGTTAACAAGGAGGTATAATGTGTTGTTTTTGTTTTTGATATTGTTATTTTATCACTACATTTTTTTACATTATTACATTATTAACTATTTCAAAGGTAACAGATGTTTGTAATACTTGGTTTATTAACATAATGACTAACTGCTGGATGTTCGGCCCCTGAGCTGTTTGTCTGCAGTAACTGTGGCCTCCAGAGTAATTTAGTTGAATACCCTGCTTTTGGATGTTTGGAAAAAAGCAAAATGAAGCAAACTCAAACTATTTTTTATAAGTGACAGTAGGAGCAGTAATTTATTATAAGAAAAAGCTAAACATATTCTGCTTTATCCCTTAAATCTTTTATTCATCTTGATAAAAGTTAACTTGAACATAATCTCTGCCTCTTTTTTGTCATTTATACAGAATAAAACAAGTTTCCATCAGGAGAGAAGTACTAGTTGAACCGCTGCTCTCTGTGACCTCACTGGTTTGTGCTTAACTAGTTAGGAAACCTCCTGTATTAAATACCTTCTGTATCTCTTACACACACACAGCCAAGTTGTTATGTACACTAAGGACATTCAGTCCCCTCTGGTTTTCCACAATTACAGGCATTTGTGCCGGAGTGTTGTGTTCGTGGATGACATGATGTTTGCCTAAAAATAGGAACACAGCATAAACTGCGCTGAAGTGTGTAGACATAACAGTGAGAGCGTAAGTGTGTCGCTGCTGCGCTTTTTATTAGTGGAGACATTTTTAATCCGAGCTATCGTTAACTTGTTCTAAGCTTTAATGGGAAACAGTTTGTGCGCAGTGTCTCACCTCTGTCAGAGCGTGAAGCTGCCCCTCGTGGACGCACACTCCCTTAAACCTAGAAAAAAAAACATTAAAAGACATGCAAAACCAGACGTTAAATTTTCATCAGATGAAACCACAGTTTGGACACACAACAGGACGACATCGGAGAGAATTTGACTGGAAACAAATTAGGTAAAGCCGAGAGAAAGTGCAGGGAGATGATGTTTTGCCCGTGTGTGTGTGTGTGTGTGTGTGTGTGTGTGTGTGTGTGTGTGTGTGTGTGTGTTTACAAGTAAAGCATCTCACAACTGAACAAATTTTATTAAAACTTTCAAGAATCATCTTCAACTTTTTTGTATGCAAAAACATGTACGCAACACTGACAATTTTACACATACTGAGCTCAGATTTGGTGTGGTAGTAGCTGAGATTAACCAACACTTCAACAAAGATGAGTAATGTAGAAAGCTCACAGAACGATGACGTGAAAAGTGGACTTTAAACTACGCCTCGGTCGGGAGGAGCAGGATGCCGGTGTCTGCAGTGACCACTTCAKCAKAGGTATGTTAGCTGCTAGCTTGTGTTTAGAGGCTGTGTTTATAAAGCATTAGGTTGTCGTAAAATTATAATTTATTTAGTAGTGATTATTAAGTTACYGGTAGTTTAATATGGACCTCATCTAGGCTTTTTAGGCTGCCCTGGCATTCTGCGTTGTTTGGTGCTGCATGTTTGTTGACATTAGCCGCTACTGCTAGCATCTTAACATATAAAACAATATGAGAACAAACACTCACCCTGGCAAAGACCAAACAATAACAACAAGTTTTATTATTMTTAACTCTGTTAGTGAAATATCTCATGGACCACTGGATGGATTTTAAAGAAACTCTCTTTTGTACATCTACAACTTATTGATTTTTGGAGTCAACCAAATCCAAAATGGCTGCCATAGCTGACTGACCTTAGCTTACATAAAAATGGCAATACCTTGGTGAAATTAGCAAATTTTGAGATAAATATTTTCATGACTAGCTGAGGGTCATTCCCAACACCTAATCCAAGTGCTAACAGATTTTACATAATTTTCCTTTCAAGATTTAACCAATACTGAAACTCTGGTGTAAAAGGCAGCAGACGATGGAATGCCAGGGTTTTAAAGTGCCTGTGACATCAATTTTTTGTAATAATTATGAATGCATTTTGGAAAGATAACATTGATAACATATTGCAAAAATATATTTTATACCRCTGAGATGAACAGTTGTTGAGATACAGTATTTGCATGTGAAGTAACAGGAAGTGATGTCAAAGGGGAATGTCTGAATGTCAACAGAGAATCGCTACAATGGCACAAACAAAACAAACAACACAGACTGTAGAGAAGAATCTGATGTTTCTTTAGATTATTTTGAGTCACTATCAAAGAAAGATGAAGAAAAGTGAGAGTTCAAAGTATWTTGTTTTAATAAACAAAGACCAGAGAGTTTCCATCTTAAAGAGTTCCCCTTTGATGTCACTTCCTGTTTCATTTTGGCTAAGCCAAACTCAAAAGAAAAATTTCCAGTTGTGCGACAAAATGGGTAAAATCGTGTGTTTTATGCCAAGTTTATTAAATATAAAGACGTTTTCTATGACTTTTTGTATTTGAAGATTATGCATATCACAGGCACTTTAATAAAAAGCAAAGCAAAGCTATATATATATATTTTTTACATATTTTTCTGCAACAAGTCAACTGAAACTGAAGAAGAATGGTTGGAAAAAAAACAAAATTCCAGCGGGCAAGACTGGACAGGTAATTACTGTTAATGGGAGAATAATAACAGCTCTGCCACTTCGTCTGCATTCTTCCCATTTTTACCTCGATGTTGCCTATCAATTTCCAAACTCACGAAGCCTAACCAGTATATTTAACACTCGTGAATTTCCCTATCACTGCAACAAACAGGGTATCCTGCCAGAATGAAGAGCTTTTTAGTGTTAGAGAAAGTTTGCATCTCTTTTTCTGCGTTTGACCTTGAAATATCACAACATCAAGACCTGATACATTTTTGTTTATTGCCTCGGGTCTGAAAGCRTAAATCACACAGAAGATTATTTTACTGCTTCAATAAAGTGACACAATGACCATCTGCAAACAAACTTTGCACACGAGCCGATTTGAAGAGCTCATAACTCTGGAAGCCATGAAAAAGGTCGAACTTGTAGGTCCTCGCTGGATTTTACCAAACAATGACTCCACACAGAGTGTTTGTTCACACAAGGACACACACTCGATCCACAAGGCATGCTCAACAAAGATGGCATTGTAAAGGACGAGTGCATGAGCGCGTATGCACGCACAAAGAAATTTATGCATGTATGTGCATGTTCGGTGCACACACTCTCCCACTGATGAGCCCAGACACGATGTTTTCTACAGACGGGGGTAAAAAAACAACAGCAATCTTGTTCTGGGTCGCTGTGGTCAGTTATACTGAATTTGCTCTTAYGGGTAATTCTGAAAGCTGTAAAGTTTTATAAACTTTTTATTGAGTTTTTGTTAAATGCAAATTCATCGGAATAGTTCATTGTCAAGAATCATAAAATGCTCAAATCTAAGAGTTTTTCTTTATCATATGCAAAAAACAGACAACTATTTAAAGGCAAGAAAGGGTTAAAAACGGTGCCATCTCCTCTAAATTCAAGTGTGACGTCAAACAGGACACATCCTGAAGCAGAACAAACAACCTGCTCTGAGTAAAACTGAAGGAAGGTCAATTCAACTGRAAGATAAAACTATTTTATAGAGGTGCTTCTCTGGATCTAATGCATGTGGTTCCATTAGTCATTCATGAGGAATTCTCCAGAATGTCTCGTAACTTTAACAGTCCTGCTGCTGAACAGATCAATGATTAAAGTGTCTGATGTGCTGACATGGTTGCTCAGAGCCTTTTTTCTCCAATGACTTGAAAGGTTCTCCTTGCTTTTCTCCTCCAGGCATCTGGTGCAACTAACAGGAAGTGGCAGTTTAGAAAATCCATTGTTAATAGGCTCAGTGTTTGATAGAGTTTCTAGTACTCCCTGAAGGAAACAGGTCACAAAGCAGACTCACGAGCGACTGATGGAAGGAGAAATCGAGGTAAAGGGGGGAAGCAGACATGGTGAGAAGGAAAAATCTGAGGTGTTGCTGTTGTGTGTAAAATGTCCAAATATTCAATTTCTTACACAAGAGAACATTAAAAAGCTCAACAAAGTAGAAATAATCTAATTATTCTGTCTGCTTTAATGTTAATAATAATTTTAAACAAATCTTAATACAATAGGACAACAATCAAACTGCAACTTATCAGCCTAAAATAATACAATATAATAAATAAGACAACAGTTTGGTTACCGACCTGAGAATGTTGGGATGACACAGTCGGTTCATTAGTTGGACCTCTCTCAACATGTTAGCTCTGTTGCTGCTGAGTTTGTTCATCTTCAGAGCCATAACTTGGTCTGAGGCTCGGTGACGTACCTGCAAAACACTCACATTAGATCGTTTTATGTTCAGGTTACACCAAAACTCAACCTGATGTTTGGAACAAATCAATTATAGTCCAATAGCTGCAACAATTACGAGCTGCGTGTAACATCTTGTTTAAAAAAATACAATTTTTGCATAAATACAAGAAGTAAACATTTTTGAACGCATGAAACGAGATCACAGAGGAAGCAGATAAAGACAACATAAGCAAGTGAAATGAGGTCAATCGCTGCTGACCAGCCATGACAAAGTGCGTGTGTCATTTCAAAACTCTATAATCAATTTTGTATGGCTGTGCACTGGGAACACAGGGCTGTGTTTATTTCCCATCACATTCATCCCTCTGGTTGACTGGATCGCAACATATTTTATGGTGAAAAGCATGCAAGAACTGTAGACAGATCGTGGTATGAAGGCAACTCTACGAACTTCCTGGTTAACACCTAAAACAGGACACACTGCTGTGTTTAAAAAAAAATATTAGAGCAAAACATTTTTCTCTCATATGTTTCTAATGCACAAAAACAACAGAAAAACATCTCATGATTTAAAGAAAAAAAGCAAACTGCATCTTTTTTAATGTAAATAAAAGTAATTTATTCTCAACAGAACGATGGCTTGGTATTTCTTGAGAAATTATTCTCAGCTACTGCCAAATTATACCTCAATATCTATAAAAATGACTGAGTTTTAACAATTTTGTGTTTGCTAGGTTTGCTTTGGTTGAATTGGATTTACACCAAAAGATCAACTTGTAAATGTAAAACCAATGATTATTTTCAGTGTTTCATTCAAACCTACACACAGACTCAAACAAAAACAGGTTTAAAAAGAAGAGCTTTTTTTAAATAGCAAGGTGACCAAAGGTCAACACTGCAAGTGTCAGAGGTGCAGTAATTAGTAAGAACGTTCGTTCAAACACACACGTACGCAGGAAAATAGAAGATATCAACCTCCAAAACCACTGAAGGAAGCACGTAAAATGAGTAAGCTGCTGCAGACAGACACATTTATCTACCTACACTCACTAACTCATTTCCTGGAAGCAGAAACATATTTAGACCAAGGAGCAGATTATCAAACATGGCTGGCCTTCTACATTCAGGGCTCCTCGTGAGAAGTTAACTTTAAGAGATTATTAAAAAATAATGCAAAACAGAGTGACAACTGCTTGATAGTTGTGTTCCTATTTGTGTTACTGCGAATTTGACATGTAAATCAACACCATCATCTCATGACTCTGCAGAGTCGACACAGAAAGTGAGAAGTTTCACTGCAGCTAATGTGATTCTTATGAGTGGCGAACATGCTCAAAGAGACAGTTTATGGTTTAAAGTGGGGTATGTAGCTCTTTGGCTTGCCTCAATTTGGGTAAATAGAGTTGAATTCTGAACAAACTGACAAGAAAATGGATAATCTGAGCAGTGCAAAGACCAAAGCAGACTGCTGCGGTCTTAAAACAAGGCCAACCACGAAAATTTATGTGTTTTCTGCAAAAATCTTCCATCCATCCATCTTGTTTAACTGCCTTTCTGTGGAAAGCTACATGCAACACTATTTAAAAAAAAACTTTTTATTATTGTCAATTGTGCACTGAGCAGTTATTTGCACATCATTTTATGGTTTGTTGTATCTCTGACAGGAATAGCCCAATATTACTGCACAGTTTAAGGCATTATGATGGTTTATAAAAGTACTTAATTGTATCAAATGGGACTGTTTGACAAAATAAATCACAGCGAATACCATTTACCAACCTTATGTCTTTACCAAAATCTTCTCTTCTTTTACTGTTCCTTTGACTACTGGTGTGCCGCAGGGCTCTATCCTTGGACCTGTGCTGTTCTCACTATATGTTGCCACTGAGTTTGTTTATAGCTAAACATAATCTCCAGTTTCATATTTATGCAGACGATATACAAGTCTATTTGCCAATTGTCTACAACAACATAAATCATTTAGACCAGGGATAGTCAATTCTGGTCCTTGAGGGCCTCAGCCCTGCACATTTTACTTGTTTCTCTGCTCCAGCACACCTGATTTGAATGAATGGGTGATTTTCAGGCCTCTGCAGAACTTGGAAGAGGCAATTCACTGACAGAACCAGGTGTGTTCGAGAAGGGAAAAATGTAAAACATGCAGGGCTGTGGACCTCGAGGACCAGGATTGACTATCCCTGCTTTAGACTGTGTTTTGAATGGTCTTAAGAATATTAGAGAGTGGCTTTCACTAAAGGTTTTGCACTTGAATGAAAACAAAACAGAATGCATTTTGTTTGGGGTTAAAGCATGGCCAAATTTTGTTCAAGARCGTGGCACTTACTGAAGACCTGTTGTGAAGAATTTGGGTGTGATGTTTGAAGATTGTCTAAAATTTGACAAACAGATTGACTGTGTCATTAGAAGCAACTTTTTTCAACTCCGACTTCTGGCTAAGGTTAAACCCTTCCTGAGTCGAAAGGACCTTGAAAAGGCAATGCACGCTTTTATCAGTTTTCGCACAGATTATTGTCATGTGCTTTATGTTGGAATAAGCCAGTGTTCTCTATATCGACTCAAATTAGTCCAGAATGCTGCTGCTCGAMTGTTGACCAACWCTAGGAGGCACAGTCACATTACGCCTGTACTTTACTTCCTTCATTGGCTTCCAGTTCATTTTAGAGTTGAYTTTAAACTTTTAATGTTTGTTTTTAAAGCGGTTCATGGTATTGCACCCCCTTATTTTTGTGATYTTTTACAAGCACATTGTCCAGTCAGAGCTCTTTGGTCTGCTGACCAACATCTTTTGGAAGTCCTCAGACCAAAGTCCAAACAGTGGGGCGACCCTTCATTTGCTGTAGCTGATCCAAAATTATGGAATTCATTACCACTTGAGTTGTGCGTGATCAATAACTTAATTTATTCAAAGCTAAGTTGAAGACATATTTCTTTAGAACGGCTTTTATTACACCGTAGTACACTGTTATTGTTATTTTTCTACCAATGTTGTTGGTTTTTATTCTTAGTTTTTATTACTGAACTAACGGAACACACTTTGGTTCAGTAGTCATTGTTGTAAAGTGCTAAAATTTCATTATGTTAGTTTTTAATATCTACCTTTAACATAGCCTCAATGATACAATAAATATCATATCATAATTTACTTCAAAAAGACAAGCGGACTGGATTATCGTAAGGTAAGACTATAAGGATCAAGGATTTATATTCCGATGATCAGGGTTTCCTGTATCAACGTCTTTCTTCGTCTCATACGCACGGACACAGAACCTCTCTGTTCAAGTTCAAAGGAGGGGGYTTGGCTATAAGAGGCGACAGTCTCCACCGCAGGACAGCAGAAACAACATATGGCCACTCCTCTGAAGGCCTCCTCCCCCAACATCCGTCTATCCTCTTCCGACCCCCCAATTCATCGCTCTTCACATCCCCCCCACTTGTTTTCCTGATCCCCCTCTTTTTCCTCCACACTGAGGCTTCAAACAAACCGGCAATCCTAATCATTCCCTGCAGTAGTGGGAATATCYCCCCTCTCCATCTTCCTCTGATGTCTCCCCCCACCTCTGCATGCCCTCATGTCAGATGAAAAACCTAACCCCTTTTGTCAATCTTCTCCAAACCCTGTCCTCGTTCTCCCCCCACCCCACAAAGATCCTACCAACCTGTTCTCCACAAACTCCTCTTCATGTCCTCTACAGCCCTCGACCATGCCTTTCTTTGTACTTATTGAACTCCTAAAACCTCATCTAAACACCCCACCATTATCATCTCCTTTAACAGGCTTTTCAGCACAACTCTCCACCATCAGAGGCTTTTCCACCTGCTTCTTCCCTTCATTATTTTCATCACATTTTCATTTATGCCGTCCTCCTTGAAGCAGACTGCCCTTACCTTTACTACAGGTATCAAAGCATTGCTCAAAGGAATTTCCCTCAAGCCGGTGCCTATATTTAATGTCATAGTGGGGGTATTTCTGTAAAAGACCAAGTATGTAAATGTAAAGTCTGTCTTAACACATCTTAACTCATAATGAAACACAGAGACTCACAAGGAAACATAAAAATGTGTCATCATTCATCGACAATTATAGGTTTTGACAAATGTCATTAAAATAGAACATGCTTACAGCCTCTGTTGTATTTTCTTGTACACACTAGAACTTTAATAGACAGATCTTTTAAAGTGTTTTGTGAGGGAATTTGTAATGGATAAATAAATTTTACAAAGCAAAACAGAGGATAAATTACTGATTTATTTTAATAAGACAGAGCTAAATGTTTAAAATAAAGAAAAAAATGCTTTATTACCYGATTTTTATGCAAGTATTTTATACAAAGATAATCTTACAATGAAAAATACCAGCCAATTTCAAACACTGCGACATCAAGCACAATCTTTTAGCACTTAGTGTATGTGTTGTGAATGACTCTCAGCTACTACCACCCCAAATTTCAACTATCTGTAAAATGCATTGGGCTATAGACRTTTTTTAAGTAGGCTAAGGTCAGTTAGCTTTTGGCAGCCATGCTAAATTGGGTTAACTCCATAAATTAAACCAGTTATAGATATACAGMCTATTTTATTAATAATCATTTAAACCATAAGCTACTGTTATTAGTGCTACTCTCTGACTTGCTGTCAGCTTTGAACAAGCTCCAGTGTYTTATAAATAGCCCACAACAAGTGTTTTTGGCAGCTGCTCTAACAACAACACAATAGGGTTGCATTAAATGAAGGGCTTAAGACAATTAAAGTTGCCATCCCTAATCACAAGGACGCAGTTTAAACATTAGCTGTCACCTGTCATCACTGTCTCAGTAGTCCATTCATCTTCAGACAGAACTGAACAAACCAGGTCATTAAACCATTAAAAAACTAATGTGRGACAGACTAAGAAATGGCTTGTCGTCTTGCATTAAAGTGATGCTGAAAACCCAAAATAAAACTTTAACAACCAGTTTATAATTTGACTAATAAGTTGATGACAAATAAAACAGAACATCAAACTATTTCCTGTCCACAAGTATTAAAATGATCATCTCACACAGACGTCACATCAAACACATTTGTGCAACTTAACTTCTTTTTAAAGATAAGTATATATTTGTATCTCTCAGTCAAACTGAGTCCAGTGTTGTAAAAAGTACCACAAAGTGATACTTGAGTAAAAGTACATATCTTACCAAAAAATTACTTTGGTAAAAGTTAAAGTCTCCTTTAGGAATATTACTAAAGTAAAGGTCTTAAAGTATCTGGGTTTTTGTTTGTTTGTTTGTAATTAAGTATTAAAAGTAAAAGTATTGATTTATAATGAGCAGTTAGATTTTCTGTAAAGACATTTATTAGGAGGTGACCTCCCCAAAAACTGCAGAAATGACTGTTGTATTAAAATATTTAATTTACCCTATGTTACATTTGGGATGCACTMGTCCAGCTGTTTCAGTTTATTTACATATATCAAGGCTGCGCAAACCTTTTCCCCAAAATGAAAATCTATCTGAGGGCTGCGGCCAAATGTCATAATATAATTTATGAAATAYAAATACTTCTTAAGTACAGTCCTTTTATTTTAATGATTATGTCCTGCTGGAGTGTGACATGATTTGTTTGTGTACAAACTAATACGGTATCAGAATTTGATATTTATTTATTTATTTATTACTTATTTATCTATACTTCACAATTAAATTCACTCTATCTAGGAAGCACATTTTTATGGATTGTATTTATTGTTTACAATAACAAATGAAAACAAGCAAAAATGAAATAAAAGCAACGACTTTCTGCTTCTTGCCTTTTTTAAAAATGTAAGGAGTAGAAAGTACAGATAATTGTGTGAAAATGTAAAAAGTAGAAGTAAATGTCGGCTGAAAAATAAATACTCAAAATTATACTTAAGTACAGTAACAAAGTATTTGTACTCAGTTACTTTACAACTCTGACTAAGTCTTTGTTGACCAGATGATGGCAAAAACGCTTGTGTGACCTACACTCACACGCCTGGAGGGCAGGGGGTGTTTAAGTGATGTCTAATTTGACCTCAAAATGTCAAAACTAGACTAGTTAGAGGAGATAAGAGTCAGTCTTTAACTCACCAAGTGTGTCAACAAGACGAGAGTAAATCAAATGGAAAACCAGGTTAGGTTCAATGGTTTCGTCAACAATCATTCAAGACAGCTTTAATGCTGGTGCAAATTAGAAGCAAAAGAGCTTTAGAGGGAACAGGAAAATAAAATCAGAGGGCCTAAAGGGTGCGGAGAAAGGAAAACTAGAAAAACATGAAAATGGTAATAGCTGATTTTTACCCACCTTGAAGACTTCGGAGAAAAACCCCGAACCAATCCACTCGCAGGTGAAGTCATCGAGGCGTGTCAGACAAGAGAAGGCACTGATGAGGGCTCTGTAGGAGGACGGACACACCCTGCCCACCTGGAATCAAACAATACAAGAACCAGCCGCTGAAGACTTATCTGATGGACATGCTTTAGGTAAACACAAAGATAAAGAGGAGCTGGTTATGTGTCCTGTAATGGATATGGTAGCAGGACCAAAACGTGGATATAAAAACTGATTTGACTTTAAAATCCTAACAGAAAGAAGMCTAAAATCAACAAATGACTTCAGAAAGATTTACTAAAAGCTCAACTCCCTAAATAATACCACTTCACACTTGTGACTAAACAGAGCTTTAGTTTTCTGTGAGTCAGTCAGTAAACTAATTTCTGCCGTTAACAGCAAAACTGAAGAAGCAGACCAAAAATAAACATTTTTGGCTAAAGGGGATGGTCTACAGCCGTGGTTCCCAAACTTTTCAGCCTTTGACTCACAAAATAAAAGCATCAGAGACCTTTGCCCCCAGCTGTTGTTGGTTGATAAACATTGTTTTCACGTCAAATAAACAACATTATTTATTACATTATTTTAGCCAATTTTAAGTACACTAATTTTAGTATTTTGTAACTACAAAAGGCAAAAAATGTTTTAGTGTAATTAATTCAGAAAATATTTTCAGGACACCACTGGGGGGTCCCGACTCCAACTTTTGGAACCACTGGTCTACAGGGTATCTGCAGGTCTTAGCAAGTCACATTTAAGACTTTAAGACCATTTAAGGATGTGAGGACACTATAGTCTGGGTAGCAAATCAAGTAAACTACAAATTAAAAAGTCATGGATTCCTGATTTTTTTCATCTAAGCTGAACTGTAAAACAAAAAAATTAAACTGACCTGCGAAGGTGGGCCCATCTCACAGTTTCCTACCCCTCCAGTGCCGTCTCGGTCGTCACTGAGGCGTTCAGGCCACGTAGGAAACCCGGCAATAGAGTTGCGTTTATTCCGGTCCATGGCGACGTGAAAGACGGTGATATGGGCCTTTTTCCACAACGAACCCACATGACAAGAGGACTAGATCGTTTTGAAGACGCCGAGGGGTTCACGGCTGCGAAGTACGTTTTCAGTTCGTGTCCTGGGAGAAAACCGATCACGCTCATAGACTTCAGCTTTGACTCTTATTCTGGGTGTTCCGCTCGACAAACTCTGCCAAGAATCCAAGTTTCTAACGAGTCCAGTTCATCGCTGCTTGTAAACGAGAAGTCCAGCATGATAAGAACTTCACATGTTTGACAGGGATGCAGTCAGTCCTTGGAAACCTGGGGAAAAATAAAAGCAGAAAACTGAGCCGGCGTATATCTTTACTTTAAAAAAAAGATATTCATAAGTTCTTACATTCAAATACACTAAAACGAGGGTCTAAATCAAGGTTAATTAAAAAGCTGCCGTTTCTGTACGCTGGCTCTGATCTCAGTATTGATGAGACCAGTCACCACRGCTCAACAGACTCAAATATAATGGCTGTAATAAAGGTCGATTGTCCAATTATGGGAGATTAGCCAAGGAATAGYTCAGGTCTTGGACCTTTTCTACCATCCAAAACAAAGTCAGCAGGGTACAAAGAGGGACGGGGAAGGAAGTATGTGGCTGAAGAACCTTTTCATGCTWGTAAACAATGTGCCTTTCATATTCTTTAAAAATAGTTTATGAAAGAGACAGTTTTTTTTTCTATTTATAACGTTCAGCCTGGATACAAATTYGTTTCCCAAATATTCAGGCTAAAAAGTAAAACAAAGCAAATAAATCTGATCAAATATGAAGCAGAAAGTCTCCAAATAATCAGGTAACCATTTGGAAAATCCATTGTGTTAGCTGTTATTTCTTAACTGTCCCCTCAGATTGAAAGCCTAATAAATAATTGATCAATGAAGCAAATCTTTGTTTAAGACTGGGACTTAGAAGTGTAATGAGATTTACCATGTAAAGCTCTTAACATCCTTTTTACTAATTTAGCTGCTTCTCAACTGAATTTACAAATGCACAGTACTAACTAAGCTGCAACATTTGCAGTACTTTAAAGCTTTAATTACTCTTACATCAGCACTTTTATATGATTCAGATACAACAGAAGCAGAATATTAGAGGCATTAAAAACATATTGTCATTATATTGTGATTCATAATTTTTAAACAAGAATCATTCAATCATTAATCTATTAGTTAAGGTGTCGTTGATAAAACATCCAACAAACTATTAGTTCGTTAGTTACCACAACATATTCTGTTAATTTATTTATTTGACTTGATTTGCATAAAAATGGCTAAACTAAACATAACAGAGGAATAACGCAGGAAACAGATGAGGCTATAAGYAGATCTCTATAAAGTTTAAATTTATAACTTTATTCAGTATAAAAATAGGAAAAAATACAACAAAAAAGCCTGCAAATGACATACAATATATTCAAATTTTTCAAAACAGAACAGATTCTGGATAAATGATCAAATTAAACATGTATTATGTATTGAAAAAAGGTTTGTAATCCAGTGGGACATATTAGCTTCCTTCTTCAGATTATATAGTTTACAAATTGCATTTAATAAGGTTGGATAATTAAATGGAATTTCTTGTGTTTTCTTGAATTTAATTCAACTTATGAACATTTTTGGACTGTATTTGATGAATTAATAAAACTTGTTTCATTCATCTCYAAAGGGCCTTGAGATTACTTTTAAATTCTTTATTTTTTTGTGACAGTGACCTCACATTTTACAAAGAAAGTCAGATTTCATATGATTCTCTTTTATACAACAAAGCCTATAATTCTGCACTCTGAGATCTTCTAAGCAGCCACAATAAATTCCAGTCATTTTTGTCCGATGTTAAGAGTTTACAGCATGCATTTGTAAACTTTAACAATAAGATGAAATTTACAAATCAGTGGAGATTTCAACAAGGAATGCTGAAAGCCAACATTCAATCTGAGGCCCAGATGAGGTTTGAAAGGATTAGATCCTAACAACAACAATGACACGACACTCGKAGAGCTCCCACCTACATGGCTTCTGTGATCACTCTCTGTCCCAGGCATATCCTTAAAAGGATACAAATTCTCCTCTTTCTTTTTTTAAATTTATTTATTTTGCAAAATCTTTATTTTTTTTTTTTGGGCTTGCCAATATGGTGCATCAGGAAAAAAAAAAGAGGAAAAGTTCTTGTGCCAAGAAAAACACAAGCCAAAAGTACCAGGGCCTAAGCTTTCCTGTCTATTTTCAGAAGGGTTTCCATCCAGCAGAGACACATTTACTGTATGTAGTAGATGAGTGGACGAGAATAGGTCTGCTAGAAGATCATTAGCTCACTCTTGATTCATAACGACTCACAGCAACCAGTGAGGTTTTTGAATTCACACGCCCACCTTAGTGGTCAAAGCAATCATGATTTTCTCACACRTGAACTAGGGCTGCCACAAACGATTATTTTTATAATCGATTAATCACAGATTATTTTTTCGATTAGTCGACTAATCGGATCATATTTTAATTGAATATAAACCATACAACTTATCGCGCCAGAATGCAGCTGCTATTATATAACCATAGTTAGATTTTAGCTATATGCTAACTAAAACAAATGCTGTGGAAGACAAGTTCTGCTCTGCAGATATTGCACAGCACAGGTTTCTCTTTCATTTTCTTAAAATGATCCCACACTTTTGAGCTCTGTTGTCAGGTAGCCATGATACCAGAGCCTGTCTGTATAATGTCTTGTGACGTCCACGGCCTACCCCAGTTACCACTACTGTGCATGTGTGTCAAGGACAGAAAGGCAGATGTGGCAGTGGAAGGTGTCAAAGCAGTTTGGAGAGAAAAACAAAGTAAAGAACAAAATAAAAGAAAACGATTAATCAATTATTAAATTAGTCATCGATTATTTTAATGATCGATTAGTCGTCGACTAATCGTGGCAGCCCTAACGTRAACACTTCTTCATGGCACTAAAAGCCTGAGATACTGTGCGTGATTAAAAGTATATCTTAACTCCTAATGCCTTCTGATGAGCCAAACGCTCCATGATCTGGGTTATTAATCAGTCCATGTCACATAAAGATAAAATACCTTAAATTATTGTAAAATATTTTCATGTCAAGAATTAATATGTGCTTGTAAATAAAGCTTTTTACAGGCTGACAATATGCTCTGGTTTGTGTCGTTTTTTGTTTATAGATAATTATCTAAAGGCAAATACCCTTAAAAATATCAAACATTATACAAGATATTTATTACACTTATTAAAAAATAAATATAACAACCCTCTTTAATGTTGCAAGTGATAAAACAAAAACAGAAGCAAGCTAAATATTGTATTTGTTACAAACTACACTCTGATGCCTTCAAAAGGCTTGCATCTGAAACACCACACTAAAGCGACACTGGGTGGAATTGTTAAAAAGCTTTGCTTTTTTGGGTCTTTTTTTAAAATGTGGCTTGTTGCTGTTTCAAAACAGATGGGGCATCACACCACAGCAGCCTCAGGCCAAATGTTTTAAAAGTGGTTTGGGAGGGTTGAGCACAATCCAGCTGTGTCCCAGTGGATTACAGACTAATAGAGCAAGTCACCGCTAAATCAAAAGCTAAGTGATGTTATAATGTTAGGCTTCAGCAAATAATTTACTGTCACTGCAGAGCACACAATAAATGGGAAAAGCGGAAAGTTTTTGCATGGAAAATCCTCCTGGGATCATTTTAACAACAAAAAGTATAAAGTAACTTTTTTTAATCTGATAGAATTTCCTTCTGTAAACTAGATTTGTAATCTGTTAACATCCATGATATGTGAGGCAGGGCATACCAGTCATTCTTCAGTGGTTTGTGAGTAATCAACATGCTAATAGGGAAAACACCTTGGAAAAAAACTATTACCTGGCTGGATGCAACTGGTCTGTAYAAGGAGCTTTCAAAAATGAACCATGTTAGGTGGACACAAATTAATAAACAACCAAGATATGGTAAAATGTGTGCTGATTCGTTAAGAGTTTGTTGTAGACCGCAGAGTGAAAACAATGTAAACATAGCAGAAGCAAATGTKAAGTATAATGGTTTAACTCTTGAAAGTTTAGCGGACTCACCTGGTTTTATTTCACTGAAGAGTTTACAAGAAGACTCCAAGCTGGGTCCCATGCCTCTGCCAGGAGACATTTCTTAGCAAACGACCCAGCTACGGGGCAGAAACTGCGACTAGCGGACGGGCTAGTTTGTCAACAAAACTGGAGCGAAGCTAACAAGACATTAGCCTCGGAGCCTAACAAACGCGCACAGAAAACAACAAGTTGCTCACGGCGACGGCTTCAAAGTCCAAATATCCAGAGGCCGAAATCCCAAAATCAATGGAAAATCCGCTTGTGTCGATATTATGTCAACAAAGGGGAGCAACAGGAGGGTTTCTGCTGCGCTCGTTTGATGATATTTCAAACGATTGTTGGGGTTTGACAGCTCCGTCGTCTCCCTGCTTCCATCCCACTGACTCCGCCCACCTATGATCGGCAGGCCAGTGAGCCAATGAGCCTTGCGTGTTCAATCATGTGACCGCTAAGCAGCAGATTTGTGAAAAACGAACTAAAAAATTGGGATAACATTATATCTAGAAATAAATTTTGAGTTACAATGTAAATTTATTTAAAGAAGTTTATTGATTTAAAATATTTATGTGATAACATCACTTTATTCTCTGCAGATTTGTTCAAGTTTCTTCACAGACATTTAATGTTATTGATAGTGTAAGGCTGGATGTGGTGGGGGRTTTTAGTGCTGGTTTGCAATGTGACTTTATGTTAGAGTTGTCATGATTGCAACATTTCACAAATTAAATGTCAAATGAAGATGCTTAATATCAGGTATGATTGAAGTTGTCTAATTTATTTTACATTTTAAAAGGTCAAAATTGCGATCGTTAATGCACAACAGAGAACAAAACTCGAAGTCATATTTTCATTAACCTACTATTTTCTTTTCAGCCAAGATGATTGTGTTAACAAATGCCCTCCGGTTACATGAAGTGAACTTTGGTGAGCACATAAAATCTAAGTGGAAATACAGCCTCACCTGGTGGGCAAACAGAGGCAGAACTATTGTTTGTATTCAAATAAAGAAACAAGAACAATGCTACAATATTCCATCATTTGTTTGTAAAGTTTCCTATTTGGAAGACTTTCAAAACTCCCAAGTTTAACTTCCCTCTGAAAGTTTCTGAACTTTTATAACCCGATATATAAGTTAATTATATATTTATACATAATTTTGAAAATGATATAATCCAGATTTGTTCATGACTCATTTGTGTTGGAAATAAACATGTAATTTATCACAGAATGCCAAGCGTCAGTAGGTACCACTACGTCACGTTTTCCAGCTGAATTCTGGCCAATCAGAAGCGCCCATTTTATGCTCACGTGATCAGAACTGTTTCCTGTTGCTGTTATGCTACATTTTTATGGGTTTTTTTTTTTAACCCAAATCAGCATATGCAAGCCGTAACAGCGAGCGGGACGCCGCTGTTGTTTTGTCATTTGACCTTACATGAATGAGGTTTAACGTCCGCAAATGTCGTTCGAGCCAGCTGGGCCGCCGAACAGGGCCGACATGGACATCAACTGTGTGGCTTTTCAGAGCAAGTTAGCCTCCATCATGGATGTGYTAGCCAAAGCCGCCGTGGTGGAAATTAGCAAACTGTGGGAGGACGGGTTCGCTCTCATTCAGATCGAGCTCCATCGGAGAGAAAGTGAAATTAAAGCTCTGAACAGCAAGTTGGTGTCGATGGAAAACGAGCGTTTAAAGGCTCTTTCTCAGGCTTCAAACAGGTCCTCGTCTTTTTCCACAAGAGAGCAGCAAAGCAGGCTGCCGCCACCTGCTGGTGATGGTAAGAACTACAGCTTAAAAATTACTCTGAAATATAATTTATGTACTGTTATAATTATAGTTTATATTTTTAGTAAGAAGTTTATCATATTTGTTCATATATAATTGACATTAATGCTAAAAATTTTTAGCTAATCTGCCCATAAATACTTTTGTTCCATCTTCTGGATTCAAATCTGTATCAAATTGAATTTAAATACTTATGTACCTGCCTTTTTAATCTTCCAGTTGTCACACCTATGAATTGACTTTTTTAAAGTTGTGTTTAAATGTTTTTTAGAAATACTGCTTTGTCACTCCAGGTCCTTCAGGTGATTCATTGCAGGCGTCTTGTGACCAGAGCATCAGAGACGAGGTAAACGCTGCGGTAAATAGCAGAACACCTCCTGATCAGACAGAGGAAAACCAGACAAAACATCCCGGCTCTGACCCCGGCGAGGCCGAAGACGAATCGGATGAAGACTTGGTTGTCAAGCTCGAAGATGACGATGATGTTCAGATCGTGGAGCAGACGTTGGAGTCGGAGCCCAGCGGCGGCGATGGAGCAGTGCATCAGGAGGAGGAGCAGAACCAACAACCTGCTGAAGTTTTACAGGATCGGGATACCCGGCAGTGGCTGACTATTTCTGTGGGAGACAGCGACACAGCGGACGACTCGGACTGCTTCTACGAACCAAAGCAGACGGACTCAGAAATCTTGCTCATTCAAAATGCCGTGGACATCTTTGATAATTCAGCAGCGTTTTCTGACAGATATATGAGGGAGAACGGGACGGTGCAAGGTGCCACCGCTGCACCCAGACCTCCTGTGACTTTCAGCCAACCTCAACCAAGTCATCAATCGGTAAACCATCCAGAGAGAGAGATGCCTGTTGGGTTCCTTTCAGAAAAACAGCAGCAGTCTAAAAACGTGTCGCCCTTCAGCTCGGAGAGCAGACTGTTTCTGTTGAACGACCCGGAGTTGCACAAGGCGGTGGCGAGTCGCCGCATTAAGGAGAAGTGGTTCATCTGCCCGTTCTGCGGCAAAAGCTTCGATCGCGTCAGCCACCTGGAGATTCACCAGCGAATCCACACGGGGGAGAAACCGTACACCTGCAACATATGCGGCAAGTGTTTTTCTCAGAGGAGCAACCTGCGGACCCACCAACGAACTCACAAAGAAGCGCTTGCACAAAATGCTGTTTAATTTATAGATTTTTATATTAGCTAACTCGTTTTACCCTGCGCCCTTTTAGATTTTAACTTTGGCTTTTCTTGGGTTGTGAGAACTAAAACAAATCTCTCTGATCTGTTTATATATCAGATTGTGAACAACACTTCGACCCAAACCATATGCCCATGATTAAATATAAATTTTGACTTTATATGAGAAGGAAAATCTCCCCTCGGACTTAAAAGTTTRGCTAATTGGATGTGAGTCAGTGCAATTTAGACAGTAGAAAAAACAGAAAAAGGCAAAAAAAGACTATTAGTATTACATTCTTATTTAAAAAGAGTTTTCCCCCAGACTGCCTAAGTACCATGACACATACTGTAAGTGGTTTTATGTATTTTATTTATGTAAACTGAGACAAATATCTGCTTTTTTAATATGGTCTACTGGAGATGTTCTGCTTTGGATAAATATTCTTTTTTCAAACAAGTTGAGATCTGGTGACCATCAATTCCAGAGCATTTTATTTGTATTATTTTTATGGCCATTGAACCATTTTTGATCACTCAGGCCTTAAAGATGGGAGTTTTGTTATCCTGAAAGAGACCTGGGCCTGTATTTATTTAACTTCTTAAAATAACTCTTAAGAAAGCTGTTAAGAAATGTAAAAACAAAATTATTAGCTAAGCTGAGAGTAAAAGTCAGTTATCAAGCATGTCAGTCTGTAAATTCCCTGACCCCTAGTGGCAACTCTGAACCAGTTAGACACTACGCTAAAGTCAGAGATTAAATCTAAGGAATTTTCAGTACTTAAGTCTAAATACTCTAAGAAGTTTGATAAATACTGGTCCTGAAGTCCTGAGGAAGAATGGAAATGTTTCATAGGACAAAAGGATATAATTCAGAACATGCTTATGATTCACGGGGAATGTTTCCTTTTAGTTGGGGACACACCAACTCATCTTATGGCAGCTAAATATCTGAATTAAARTTTTTTTTTCCTTTTTCATCACTTTGAGAAAAGAAAATAGTTGGCCATCATATGTCACAGAATAAATATTTATTTTAGCTGTTAAACAGTCGACCTGGCTCTGCTCTAGCTCCTTCAGGTAAAACAAATGAGATTGTTTTACAGAGTAACACATTACTGTTTCTCAGCTGCTTACTTTGACCCTCRGTAAACTTTTGTTCTGACCTCTCGAATCTTTTGAACGTGCCTTGTATTTATTTTTAAACGGTCWTCGCAAAATTCCACGATAAAAATGTAAAGTCGACATACTTTTTAATATTATTTACATGTTTCCAGTGTCACAGAAAATAAGACACTCACAGTATAAAGCACTTTACAGTGTATTCATGTCACCTGACAGTACTTTTATAAAGGATTTCTTCTCCGCTGGTCAMGTCTGTCATTATTCAGCACGAAACCTTAAAGCAGTGGAAGACACCCCTCGATATTCTGATTCCTGAATGGTGAAAATGGCTCTTAAAGTGCCTGTGACATCACATTTTTTGTAATAGATATGAATGCAATTTTAGATATTGCAAAAAAAAAAAACCATGCTGCTGAGATGAACAGTAGTTGAGATATTTGCATGTGAAGTAACAGGAAGTGATGTGAACAGAGCATCGCTACAACACAGACTAGAGAAGAATCGGATGTTTCTTTAGATTATTTTGAGTCACTATCAGAGAGAAGAGTCAGAGTTCAAATAATATTCCTTCAACAAAGACCAGAGTTTTCTTTCTTAAATYGTTCCCCTTTGATGTCACTTCCTGTTTCACATTTGCTGAAACAAGTTCAGAAGAAAATATGCCAATTAAGGGGCAAAATGGATAACATTTCTTAAGGTTTCCTTCGGCTTTCTGTATTTGAAGGYTATGCATGTCACAGACACTTTAAAAGCTAATATTAACCCAGTCAATGTAAAGCAAGTGCTCAGTGTTGTGGGTTACTGACTACATATAAAATATATACAGACACAAATTCTCTTCCACGTGAGCGCCCTAACTAAAACAGCATATSTTAAATTGTTCCAGTGTAACCAAAATACAAAATTTAAAATGGTTTTCAAGTGTAATTCAACAAGAACACTTTATATTTAGCATATTTCCTTTTATACTCTGGGATAAGAAGAGTTTCACTCACAGTTTGTGCCTCAGATTTTCTAAATATTAAGTTTTAAAAAATCCAACTGTGGATCTTTGCTGTGTTGGATTCCTCAGTGTCGTTTTTCTTCTTGTAACAAACCAAAAAGGCATAAAAAAAGACCCCAAAATAATTAAAAACTCCCAAATAAAAAATTAAAATGCAGTTTTTGTGTGCAGAGTTGCACTCTGTGAAGTTTGTSGTCACTGCGGGAACAGTTTGTGAGTTCTGGAGGAGAGTCCTGAGGCTCAGATGATCTGGGGCTGGGGGTGCAGCAGGATGGCGTTGGAGTGCGGCCTCGGCCTCAGGACCCCGTTGTAGTAGTAAAAATGATTGGCGAGGGTCGTGGAGATCTTGTGGGAGCTGCAGCTCCCCTCGTCCTCGTCCGCTTCAGACCGGGTGGGAAGCCACTCGTCCCCGGACGCAGGGCTCCCCTCCTGCTGGTGACCCAGGTCGGGCTCTCTGGGTCCAGTGCAGTCGTCATGCTGAGGCTTCATGGGAACCAGTGACGATGGAAGACCTGAGTCCTGGAAACAGCATTTTATTTGATTTATTTACTCTAATGTTAGCTCAGTGTCTGTAAAACTGATGAAACTGTGGCTATTTTTGTTTAAAGCTGTGATAAACTTAACTACTGTAGGAAATACAGCTTTAAATCAGGAGTGTTTTAAGAGTTTTTTATTAAAATAAATTAACTGAMGGTATAATCAAGATTGCCAACAGGTTTCCAGCTCTAAAATTAGCTTCCTGTTCTTTTAACRCCTGTTTTGTTTCGTATGCATGTCCGCATTAATGAAGGAAAACGTTACAAACAAAACTGCATTCAGGACCGACACCAAACGCTGAGTTCAAGTGCAAAAAGTAAACGGTTTGTTCAGAACTTTCAAATTTAACCAGAGAATTAGCATTTCCTGTGAAAATTGATGCTTAAAGCTGAAAATATTTAACAGCAAAACTTAAATCTGAACAGACGACTTTTGCTGAAAGAAAACAAGTGAAAAAATAGGAAAAATGTGTAGAAAAACCTAAAAAGTGCCAAAATATAGCTAAAGTTAGCAGAAAATAGTAACTATTAGCAAAAGTGTAGCTTGAAAAGCAGAAAAAAAGTTGAAATTACTAGAGAGAAGTTGCAAGAAAAAAAATGAATTTGCGAACATCTTTAAAAAAAGCTGAAATTTAGCCAAAAGGTAAAACATGCAGAAAAACGATAAACATGTGACCTTTTGTTATTTTATGACCTTGACATTTATAGGGGTTTATCTATGAAAGAGCATGTTTGCTGACTTAAGCAGTTAAAAGCTGAAATTACCACAAAAAAAGGTGCAATTAGCTGAAAATAAAGGCTAAAATTTAGCTGAAAATTGCTGAAAAGTCGCTAAAAAGCTTAAATTAGTAGAAACTGACAGAGCACATTTGCCAAACAAAAGCTAAGAAGACCACCAAAAAAAGGCTTATATTAGCAGGAAAAAAAGCCAAAAAATGCTGAAAACAGCTAAAGTGAGCAAAAAAATAAAGTAAGCTGGAATTTGCATGAAGAAGTTAAAAAACCAGAACAAGAGCAAAAAACGAAAAAAAAAAGCTAAGTATCTCAAAAAGTACCGATACCKAAAACCATAACCAGAATGTTCTGAAGGAGCTGAACRTTTTGATATATAAATTGTTGAAACAGCACAAAAACTGAGGAAAGAGCTACGTACCAAAAACATATAAAAGTCAAATGGATCTCAGTTGGTTTTCTTTACATTTTAAAGCTGATAAAAAAGGAGTTTAGCTGAATGACACTCGATTTAGCAAAGAAAACAGCTGAGGAGCAGCTGAAAAGGCAGAAAAACTAAAACAAAAACAGCAGAATGAATCTGAACAGAGCACAAAAAGCTGGAATCATTGGAAAGCCAYCAAAAGAAACACACAAACACTTACATTAGACAAGATGCTAACAGGTTTCCAGCTCTAAAATTAGCTGCACGTTCTTTTGTTCGCCTGTTTTGTTTCGTCTCCACGACATCATTAATGAATGATCGACACGTACCAGCGACATGTTGCTGTTCTTCACGTACGACTCCACCCTCCTCCTGCGCTCCTCCTTCTCCCCGTCCAGCTCCACGGCTCTCAGGCTCTCCTCGTCCTCGCGCCAGACCACGGGACGTCCGTACTCATCCCGGTCCACCACTCCTCCGGACCCCCAGTTCCCACCCATGGTGGACTGGCTGCCTTTAAAGACGGGACGCTCCTGCAGCGGGTGGGAGGGGAGGGAGGAGGAAGTTACAGTGCTGGCAGGAACCGTTCATTTTACTCAACTAATTAGGCTAATTTTACCTTTTTTTTAAAAAACAAACACAGYAATTAAAGTTTTTAACTGCTTTGGCCTCTACTTTTTATATAATTTACTAATTTCTGCTGTCATATMGGCGGGGGATCATTTATTTGACTCCATCTGCGTGTGTTAGCAAAATATCTCATGAACCACGTAACTGATTTTAATAAAAGTTTCATAAAGTAATCACTGGATGCACATTTATGTTTAAGAGTCAGTCTGATTCAAGATGGCTGCAAGAATCAATAGCAGCAAACACAAAAAAGGAGCTAAAACTCCAGATATCGAGCTCAAACTTGGTGTGGTAGTGACTGAAAGTCATCCCCATCACATATTCTGAGCACAGCTAACAAATCATGTGATTGATGTGTAAAACTTGCAAAGGCAGCGGGAAATATGTTTAGCTACTTTTATTGGAAATCGACTTTTGTTCTGTTTACGTGAATCATGCTAACCTGAAATGATCAGATTTGATCTCTTTTATTTCTAAAGTTGGAGTCAGTGTTCCCATTGGGGTTTTAAGAAGTTCTAAAACAATCAAATAAATGTAAAAATATAAATGTCAATAGCATTTTTGCTTTAATTGGTTTAAAAACGATAAACCAAGGTTATATTCGGGTAAAACTAAAAAGCCGCTTTGTTGGTCAAAATCTGAAAAGTTTAATAAGTTTAAAGTCTTCAGTTCCAGATCAGAAACTCACCAAAGACATTTGGCTGTTCAGCGTCCGCTTGTCTATTTTGAGCAGGATGTATTCTTCACTCTGGACAGCAGAGAGAACATTTGATAGAATTAGCAAACATGAAGGCTGAAACTAAAAACAGGTCTCTGAGTGACGTGAGCGCTCAGACTTTAGTAAACAGCGTGTGTCATCGGTTCAAAGCTGCAGCAGCCTGTAATCAGCGGCCTCCTCTCCTCAGCAGACGGAGCTGCCGGCTCCGCCCACACACCTCACACACACACGCACACACACCTCACACACACGCACACACACCTCACACACACGCACACACACCTCACACACACGCACACACACCTCACACACACGCACACACACCTCACACACACACGCACACACACCTCACACACACGCACACACACCTCACACACACGCAGGGTTTCGTTCTCAGAAGCGGAGGCTTTGTGTTCGTGTTTGTATACCTGCATTTTGAGGTCTGAGTTCAGCCTCCTGACGGAGCCCGGCCTCGAGAGGTTGTCGATTTCTTCCCTGGGAAAGAAAAGTGAAAAAAAAGCAGCATATTTAGAGGATTTATGGAACAATAGCGTGTCTGAAAATGTGATTTTAAAATAAATAAAAACAGGTCGAGCGTTTTAAACTGTTTAAACGTTTAACAGAGCGTCTGTCGTCAGGCTGTTAATGGGCTCTCTAACAACAAAACTTCCACGCTCCGCTCACGTTTTTTCCTTCAGCTGCATCTTCAGATTCTTGGTTTTCTTTTGATGTCGGCGTCTGACGAGCAGGACGACGACGACCAGCATCGTGACCGCCACGCCGGCTGCAACGCCGATGATGATCAGCAGCTTCCTGCCAACGTCGGGGATGTCAGTTCCTGATTCTGCTGCAGCAACGATAAAGGCATCAGAAAACAAAAACACATAATTGTGATTTTTTTTTTTTTTTTTTTTGTTAGTGATCATATTGTTGAGGGTAATTCTCGGCTACTACCACACTAAATTTTAGCACAGTGTCTTTAAAACAGAGAAGTGATTGTATTTTAGCTAATGCTACTCATCTTAACTCCAAAAGTTAATCATTTGTAGTCGTACATTTAATGAACAATTTCGAAGAGTTTCATTAAAATCCGCCCAGTGGTTTATGAGATATTTTGTTAACAGGCACAGAAGTTTGATAACACTTGTTAAAGCATATTTTTAAATAAAAAATTTGCACAATGTTTAGTACTCTGAGCATATCTTAGGGATGATGTTCAGCTACTATCACACCAAATTTTAGCTTAATATCTATAAAACCAGCTAAGTTGTAGCCATTTTTAGGTTTATCAAAATCAGTTGTGGCGGCCATCTTGAACCTGCTTGACTCCAAAAGTTAATAATTTCTAAAAGTGCATTTAATAAACACTTTCTAAGAGTTTCATTAAAATCTGTTTAGTTGTTTATGAGATATTTTGCTAACAGACACAGAGGTTTGATGTCACTTGTTAAAGCCAATTTTTAAATAAAGATTTTGCACAGGTTGACTCCACATGTTAATCAGTTGCAGATACATATGTAAGGATTATTCTCTGTGAGTTTATTTCAAATAAATTTCTTAGATCATGAAATATTTTGTTAACAGCACAGACGTGATGTATAGCGCTGCATCTTTCAGCCAGGATCATGCTTTAAGTTCACCACAAGGGGGCAGCATAAGCACAGTCAATCAAAAATTCTACCTCAAATGATTGYCTGCAAACAAAGCAGYAGTGCAGTCTTTATTTTTATTTAACAGCACAAAAACTGATGTTTCCTACCTAATATTAGTACTCTATACTCGTCTTTTCCTTCTCCCAGAGGGTTCTTGACTTTACACTCGTAGACCCCGCTGTCGTTGGCTTGGAGGGCCCGGTCAAACACAAGTTTCTCTCCACTCACACGCACCCCTTTGGGCAGAGCTCCTCCTTCCCTGCAGATAATCAGAGAAATATGTCATTTTAATTCGCCAAGATGTCAACAGGAGGTGAAGCACGCAGAGGACCCAATGAGTCACGGCTTGGAACAAAAAGGCGTGACTCGTTTTGGGAAACCTGAATTCCAGTTTTAAGTCCTCTTAAGTAACAGTATAAAATGCAACAATGCTTTGTTTGCGTCGTGGAATTACTACGGGTTCAAAACGGAGTGAAACTAATAATCTGCATGAATCAAAACCTGCTGCTTCGGTGAGCGGAACAAAACAAACAGCAGGTTTGTTGGCTGCAGCCTGGAGCCGCTAACAGCAGCCGAAGGCCTCATAAAAAGAAAGATCGCTTCTGATCGGGTCCACTGAGACGGGTCAAGTTGCCCCGGGTTTCAATATGCTGCAGCGGCTATTTAGCTTTGTGCTTTGGCCCCCTCCGGAACCAGAGCGGTCTCGTGTTTCCTCGCCTCAAAGCCCCACCTAGCTTTTTATGATCAGGTCCCACAGAGGGATTTTATCTGAAASGGCAGAGATTCACCACAGAAACACACACTGAGCAGATTTCATCTTTGCCAGCTGATTATCACACTGTCAGTGCTCTCAAAGGCGAGCGAAACTACACTTTTGTTGGTTTACAACGCAAGAAATGCAACAATTTCACAATAAAATCTCAGACAGGTTGAAATGACGCGAGTCTGCACAACACAAAACTTGGAAAGTTAAGTTTTCGCAGCATTTTTCTGCACAGTTTACTTTTGCAAACCGCATCTCTTTACTTTTTTTTTGCTTTTTTTATTTTATTTTATTTGCATTTTATGAAATTGTAATGATCAAAAATGCATACATTTTCAAGCCTTCAACAGCAGGAGCATATTGAGTTTTGCATTCCGTCCAACAAAAGGTGGTTTGAGTGAAAAACGAGTGGCGTTACTCCACCGACATGCAGAGCCGGATAACAGAGTTTGACGAGTGCTTTTTTATGTTTGCTGTCAGTTGTAGCTGATTAAATGATCAATACATGTTTAGGGTCACTTAGCAAAAACAATCCCTATCTGTCTAAGCTTAAATAGCAATAACTTTCTGAATATAAGTTAGAATAAAAGTTACAATAATGCTTTTATTTCATGCATATCTGTCTGTTTTAGRGGGAGATCAGATTAGAACTCAAAGTTTGTGAAACTTTCCTGCCATAGTTCTGATGTTCTTCTTATCTGTAGCTTGATAAAACAGGGCCAAGTTAGGAGATTAGTKCCTAGAGAATGTCTACTTTGTGCTCGAGAATCAGAGAGTGTGAAGAAATTTCATCCAGAATCACTCCATTATCTGCAGATTGGCTGAATCTTTTCTCGCCTGCAGTCCCCGTGTGCCCGGGCAGAGCTGCACCGGCTGCTGCAGTGCCTCTAATTAAAGCCCAGACCCGGTGTTTTACCAGACATTAGAGTGATATTTAAAGCATGGCTCTATGATTAAGTGCTTAGCATGAGTCTCCTGTTCTTCCTCGAGTCTCTCATTCACTCCCTTGTGTAGTGAAAAAAAAAAAAAACCTCCCTCCCCAGATTCTCTCGCTTCGCATTTTGCAACTCGACACCACGGCTTTTCTCCCGCAGTGAATCAGGACCAGAGAAAAGGCGTCCCACTTTAAATTCAAGTGCGTCTCTTTTGTCTTCAGACGCCGAGCGATCCGTGCGTTCGCAGCCAGGTTTCTATACGTCTGCAGACACATTCCAGAGCCGCTCAGCCGCGCAGAGCTGCGAGGTGAATTAGGGGGTAATTGTCTCGATGGCAGCCAGTTAAASAGCAGGTTTTTGTTTGAGCGGCAGAAAATAAAAACGATGACAGTACCATTTCCAGGTGATGGCCTGAGACTCGGGGTATCCCCGACCGCTGCAGACCAGCTCAGCTTTCTCCATACCCACTTCCCACTTTGAGGTGGGAGTGGAGATGATGGGATCTGGGGGATCTGATGAAAACAAAAACAACAAAACAAATTCAAACGCTGAGGTCAAGGAAACAAAAAGCAAACGTTTGTTCAGAAGTCTTAAATCGAAGTAGAGAATCAGCATTTCATATGGAAAGGCGGTGTAAACGCTCAACGCTGAAAGCTAATTTGAACAGCTGAGTTTTGCTAAAAGTAGGAAAACGTGAAATAACAAAAATGAGTCAAAAAAGCTGAACTGGGCAGAAATGTAGACAAAGTTAGCAGAAATTTGTAACTGTTAGTAAAAAAATGTAGCTTAAAAAGCAGAAAGAAGTTGAATGTAGCAAAAAAAGAATCAATGAACAATATACAGCGGGTAAAATAAGTATTGAACACGTCACCATTTTTCTCAGTAAATATATTACTAGAGG